GATGCTCTCTAAGTACCGACACCTCATGAGATGAATAATGGGGCATTGTCCCATATCCTAATTATTGAGAGAAGTGCTCCCATAGCCAATGGCTTCAAGGGCGAGAAGAAACATCCATGAAACAAAGAATTCTATATCATCAGGTCTCTTGTTTCAACCAAAGAACTTGAAACTCAGCTTTTTGAACTTCTAAGAACTGCCTAACCTTCCTAAAATAAAACAAGAAATAATTTCATCAGAGCAAGTAGAATAGCTAGCGTAGTAAGAATCTCAAGATTTGATTTTATATAAACTATACAAAAATTTTGCTTCCAACTCACCATCAGCTTTTCTTCTATAATCCATCCCGTCTGCAAAGAGGAAGCATAAAGTTCTTTAGAATAAGTCCTCATAATATATAAAGGTATACAAGGGTAAGCAAACCACGAAGGAACTTTGAACATAGGATCATTCTATTGTTTATTAGAAAAACAAAAAGAATAAACAAAACACATTTCTGAAATTTCTAGAACTGTGATTTCTGTGAATTTCAACAATATAGCTAACGCATGAGCTGCAGCAATGTATAGGGAGAGAGAGAGAGTGAGAGAGAGCAGAGAAGGAGAGAAAGAAAGAGTAGGAGGGGGAGACAGTGAGAGAGATAGAGATGGAACACAACATTAACGCTTCAAACCCCCAGTGCCTACATAAGGCATATGTGACCCCTTCTTTCTACTGTTCATGTTCGTTTCACAACCACCACCGATTCATTAGAGCTCGATTTAACAGCGCATTGAAGTCGAGGCGTAACGTATGGGAGCCCATCCAACAGGCGCGGTTCACCGGTTCCTTGAAATTCTCGTTCTATCGTTGAACTCGATCTCCTCATATATTTTCCGTATCTCTCTACTAAACCCATTAGTCATGTTCCTCAAGACATAGTCCCAGGTCCTCGGACACTTCTCCGTTTGTCTTACTAGCGTGTGAGTTGAGAGATCGTTCTTTATCTAGCCTCAGTATAATCGGTTCCACTTTCTGGAAAACAGTTAAAGCGTATGCCCGTGTCGCCCTTGCTGGACCGTAGAACCACGGCTCCTCATCTCTAACTACCACTTAAAGATGCAGAGGCTATGGGTCTACGGTCCCAAAGTTGTTATACTCTTAAAGATCCTCAGAAATTGCGAGCACTGTAAGAACTTCACAGCTGGCAGAAAGATTAGAACCGTCCGCATTTCGACCAGAAATGGTGATATCTTTAAGGTAGAAATGTTCAAGAAACATTAAGTAGTTCGCATCTCAGTGACTTCAAGCCGTGCAAATTTTTGAGCAACGATCGCCCACGACTAGTGTACAATGGTGAAGAATGCTTCTGTAACTGAAGCAATTCTGAATTATATATCCCCAGAGTTCAAGCCCATGAGGAAAGGTCTCAACACAACTCTCTTATACTTAAAAATGATACATTTATTATTATTAAACTTTTTCTACAGCGATTCCGAGCTTTGCATTCGAAAGCTTAGTATTATCTCTAAAATTTATGTATCCATAGAATGAAGCCGGATCTTTCGTTCGTGTCTGGCAAACTTTCTTGGTGATACAAACACACAACTACTGTACTTAATTTAGAAGCTTTTCAAATCGCACTCATGTAATGTTTTATGAGTAGAATGTGAGTGGTATCACATCACGGCAAAGATGCCCAAAATGGGTGATGCTTTCCAAATATCAATATTAACTTTAGAGGGAAATAACACTCAAAATCTACAACTGAACAGACTTTGGCTGATATCCATATCCATGAAAAAGACATTACCAGATATGAACATGAGACACCCTTAACATATGCAGGTGGTACTCTAAAACCAGCTCCAAATCTCAACCCTTGTTATGCGTATTTCCCCAACCACGACGATGATAATCCTTGTACTCGTCCCACATAATCGACTTCGCTCTAGCCTGTTCATCGTTCTCCTCGTGATCGGACTCTGACGAACATCCATCTTCCGCATTACTTAACATAAATTGCACAATGGAGAAATTGAGCTGTTCCTGTCAGATATACTTCAGAAAGGCCATCCTTCCAAAGGAAAACCAAAAAATTACCTCTCATGATACGTCTTCTGTTCTTTTTGTGATGGAACTGAAGTGCTGCCGAACCTCTGGTTGTACCATTCATCAACTGTCATTGTGGGAATGGATGGATAACCAAGGCCAAACACCGACTTCTGTTGTGCCGAACGAGTAAGAATGAACGGCTTTAAACCTGCTGAAACGCCATGATAGCCTTCAGTGATCATGTAAACCAGGTTTTGATGTTATATTAACCTACCGGACTTCCCGTCACTAATAAGCGATGATGAATTAAGTGATGCCTCTTTATCCATAGCAGATGTTCGCTCTTCCGTAGTGGATGCTTGCAATCGTTTCTGCATCATTTCTACAAGGGGCAACTCATCTAAAATATACGTATGAAAGAGCATTTTCCTGATGAGAAAGTTAGTGAGTGGATATTAGATAAAAATCGACAAAAAAAATATAAAGGACAATTGTTTATTCTCAGAAAAAAAAAACCTTCAATCGACTCAAGCTCCTCCAAAACTTTTTGCGACCAGTACCTCAACACAGCCAGATGAAGTGCTCTCTTAAAGCAACATCTTACAGTAGTTTTCAGTGGAATCCCTGATAACATTATGAAAGTTAAACTTATCTCCTCAACAAACCTGAACTGATTCGTCGGTTTTGTTCAAATGATATTCACTCCTGAGCTGCTCTATGATCCCTTTCAACTCCTTCTCTTTACGAAAACGAGCAATCTTTTGTTCTCGCAATTCTTCGCCCGTGAACTTCTTTTTTCGTGAATTCGCTTCATCAGAACATGATTCTGGAAAAAATGCGAACAAATTACTGTAAGATTCGGAAAGCAATAATAAAGTTTCTCTTGAACACAAAATTTATTAGAAATGTGTTTCTATTGGTTCTTCTCATCAAACAAATTTGCTGAAGTACACCATGGCCACTTTGTTTGATTTGGAGGAGCGAATTTTGCATTAGTCTTAACGCGATCATATAAATGAGATTGATTATAAATCAGCGTTTCGATTTACTTTCTTATGATTGCGTTGGTAACTACGAAGACGTCGAGAATTTGAAATTTCATAAAAAAAACATTTTAAAAGCACCCGAAAACGATCTAAAAGCGGTAACAAAGTAGATCATGCAATGCCAAGCAAGTATATCATAAATAGTAAACACTTAGGAATATCAAAAGGCATAAGTCTTGTATTTTCTGAGAATTTTTCAAAGAGCACTAACACCGAACTTCAGGACGATCTGATCACATTATCACAGAAGATGCAGTACGCTCAAGCTCGTAAACAAGTCAATGTTCACACGATATCTATAGAATTTGATTTCAGCTGTAGAAAACTTCGCTCTTTGTATGCTCCACAACCACCGCCTTCCAACGAATATCTGTCTCTGGCCCATTATTCGTTTAAGTGCTACGTGCTACTTAGCCTATCACGAAGCGTTTTCAGAGTCACAACGCTCCTCATACACAGCATCCAGGGTAAACTGCGCTGCAGTAGAACAGTATAACACCCATTCCCATCCTCTCCCTCCCTCCCATCCCTTCTCACTATGGGTGAAACGCGGGTTCAATTCCCGTCCTGCGGTCGGCAATTTTGCGTGTAACTCAGCATCCTTGGGCAGCAGAACAGTGTTGAAATGGAACTAAACTATTTTTAGTTGATACCTAAGTCAACTTAACCGACTAGTTACTGAAATATTGGTACGGGAGCCACTAGAACCCCAACACAAAGAGTTTCTCCTTGAGCCCCATTTGCACAAATAACAAAGAATTCCACTCTTTCACACAAAATCACTCATTTTATAAGAGTTTCTCAATTTCGAGATGGTGACAGATTTCTCATCAACCTCCAATGTGAAATTCAACTGCGTACAAACGAGTTGTGTAACAAAAGCCTTTTAAAACAAAAGAGGACTCATTTGTATTGCAAACGACCCTATTTTCTTGATGTCGCGTTCAGTCAAATAACGCTTCGAAGCTTTTGACCAATTCGACAGATAGAATCGAATCAAAATATGCTTGATAATCAATTTTTGAGCGCCCTGCCAAGAACAATCGAGTGTACAATACTGCTTATTTAGTGATATTTTCACCTAAATGGCACGTGTAAATAGTACGTCTGCGTCTTCTCTATATAGGAGTTGGATGTCTGAAGACGAGGGCACTGCCCGACTGACGGGGCTGTCAAAGCCGAAAACACGTGTATCAAACTGTATAAGTTTGCCCATAACAGGCCACATGGATGCCTCAAAAAATAATTATCAGGCATAACACTATGACAAGACCTCTTAACGACCTCGCCACCCCCATTCTGAAACACAGTGGGGATCAAACGGCAACGAAGCATCAAATTTAATAGCCACTATGACATATATCTAACAGAAATCGACTTGAACGGCCGTAAATACTCCTTAGAATTTCATTGATTGCCGACATAAATCTATCAAATAAAATCACACAGATCTACTGAACTACAATCGTTGCAGTGATTATTAGCTCGAGTATAGTACCACATCAACTCCAAAACACTCGAGGCAGCAAATTGCAAAATTTAGATTCTCAAATCTCTATACTGGCACCGTAAATATGGCAAACATGGCTGTATTAATAAGACTTCACTGAAAGAACCATGTTATATCTGACTGTTATTTTCCACGACAGATACAAATAACTGAAAAAATGGCTGTCCATTGAGATCTAACAAGATATGAAGTGTGCTGGTTCCAGATGCATTCAAGAGTCTCACCTACTACAGACCGAGGCACATTTGGCCACCACTCATTCTCCAGCATCTCTGTTTTGGCTATCATCCACCAGCCTTTAACAGGTTTGGTCAGGTATGACGATTTCGCTTCATAAACCCAGTTGGGCTGACGGCCACTATCAAATGTAATACTCCGAAGTTCTCGTATTTTTTTACTGCTTTTTTCGTGCCTCGGTGGTGTAGTGGTGGTAGCACGCGTCTCCGAATGGATATTGCAGGTTCGATTCCCGCCTGAGGCCGTGTTTTTGCTCACCACTCAATTGTGTTTTCATAGGAGTGTTAGCAATCATTCGAAAGCTAAGATATCTGGCTAAGGCCCCACATGGCCGGTTTCTCTAGAACGCACTTTTATAACGTAAAATCCAAAATAAGATTATGTTTATACAAACCACGTGTTTTTCGTTGTTATATCACTTATATATCACTGGACAAAACTGCTTCCTTCGGGCGCTAGTACTCATTCGATAGTACAAGTTCTCGAAGAACTCAAAACTATGTGTGCCCTTTAGAAAGGCTCTTTTGATAGCGCTCTAGGAGAAAGAAAAGATCTCTGCTGTACACTTCGCCAGACAGATTACATATAGCTTTTTAGGCTATTAGTAACCATTCGATAGCGTAATGTTTGTTGATTCCAACGCCGAGCTTATTTTCTGGGAAGACCGTTCCTCTCCAATGCAGCAGGGAGATATGCCACCAGCCAAAGCGTGAGTCGATCGATGATCGTGTGGAGTTGCCACATGCGCTCTCGCCTCACCCCCACCCCATGAAATGGCTAAGAAAACACTTTTCAGCGTATGTGAGTCAACCTTATCTTCCCTATCACATTGCAGATAAAACCGTCTTTGCGAAACAAGCACAGAATTGAATTCAGAAACGATTATGATTTCGAACGATTACTGATAGTCCAAAGAACGAGCTCTGTCCGGCGAGAAATATGAACGTATCCAACGCAAAAATCTCCTCCTGTAGCAACGTAAAGAAAAGGCTTCTTTGTAAAACCGGCGACGTGAGCTGTTACCTGAAGTATCAGCTTTCGAATGGTTACTAACACTCTCATGAAAAGTTACTCTCCAGCGAATAAGATCAGTTTTTATTTATTCCCTTATAATCAGAAAGAACCACGTTTTGCTTCCGGAGTGTATAGTGTGTTATGGAAACGTTTTGCCTTCCTTTCTCTCCAGACATATTTCTTTTGCTAAAGTTTTGCAATCATTTGATAGGTTGAGTAACGGCGATGCCAATAGTGGGCGTCGTTTATAGAAAAGATCTTGACGACTTCGAATCTTGGTTTGAATTTTGAAAAGGTCTTCATATAGCGCTGTAAAAGCGAAAAAAAGATCACTTATGCTCTCAAAGTAGATAGTCTGTCGCTTGAAATTTATAGCAGGTTTGTTTGCTAAAATGTATGTAAATATAAGCTAACATGTGTAGGGCGACAGAACAGCGTCGTTTTTCAGAGCTACGTAAAATTGGGAAAATCTTCCGAAACGAAGAAAAAATTTCTGAATATATGACAAAGTCGCTCGCTTTCAAGTTGGCAGTTTGACTACATGCAGTTCGCTATAAGCAGCACCACCATACGAAGAGTTCCGATTTCGTCATATTAGATAAATCCTCTTTTGAGAGAATTTTTGGATTTCCTTCATACTGTGATACAACACGACTGCCTCCACACGCTCGTATGCTTCAGATGCATGTATATCCTATATGTACGCAGAAACTCTACAGGCTCAATTTTCTTCTAGCTCTCACGCATCTTGTAAAGACGTTATTGAATTAAAAATCTAATGTTGAGGTCATTAATATATATGTATCATCAAATGACTATCAAATTTCCAATGTAAATCCATCCACAAACCCTAATCGAGCGTACAAAGTAAACCGAGTTTGAAACCTATTTTTATATTCGGCCGCTACACTGCACTGAGAAGTCTATCAACGTCAAATAAAGTATTGAAATTTTCGAGCTTCATGTTATCAAATGAGCACTAAAAGTCTATGGAGGAACTTTTCTGTAGCAAAAAATTTCCGGTCTCAAAAGGGTTAAATCTAAACTTTATTCTTGTAGTAACCATTCCTTGGATTAGTTACTATCTTTCTTTGTCAGTGAACGTCCATTATAATAATGATGTTTAATTTTTCAGACGCTTAATCTTGCCTTGCATCAGTATTGATCGTGCACCATCTGGCACTCCAGGCTAGATCAATCGCCCTCGGCTCATTCTCAAGCTTTAACTCCGATCTCTTCTTTCCTACTGCTACACGTGTGTGTGGGCAGCGAACTCAGCATTGGTTGGATCAGTGTGTCCTGGTAGACCGTCAATTCGTAGCGCGGACCCAGCACTCCTCCCATCGTGTATATTAAGCTGCCTTTTCACTCCTCTGAGCAGGTCGGTTACAGTCGTCCTTCTTGAACTGGTCATCTACTTGTAGGATGCTTTTTGCTCCTGTTCCCACATATCGTATATTCTACCGAAGGTTGTTCATTGATATAACTTGTCGTTCATAGCTGTTCTCCTTACTGATCATGTTTATATGTGTACGTTATCGATCTTGTTACGTTATTATTTTGCCATTGGTACTACGCTATAGATGATTTGATTACTCAGCTATGAGATTGATCCACGTCAACAGTAAAAATTTCCTGTTTCACGACACACATACGAACCATCCAATCAAACAGTTTTTACCTGCAGTGCAATTAGCCTAAGACTCGAAAGACCGATTTTTTCGAATCTTGACATGTTTCATGAAAACTGAGATTGAACGAACGCTTCAGAAACTAGTCTCTAAAATTGTACGCAGAATTGGTATGTCGTCTTCCAAATTGATGACTGACGTTTCGGTAACGTTGCCTTCTTCTGAACTTGAATGTATCTATGTAACTTTATGCGTACGAGTATGTGAAGTTTTTGTGTCATATAAAAATCTGTGGTATTCGTAGTCGTCACTTTTTCAAATTAAACCATGCAGCATATCATCACGTGTAGGACTACCTATATTTTTTCGCTTGGAATGAGAGCCAGAACGAGATAGGCGTTTCACTACACAAACTAGCAATTGAGTTTGAGATATGGTGCCATATGGCTGGCAGTCTTCAATCATTTCGCTTAGAGTGACCTATGCGTCGAAAATGTAAACTTTATTTCATACTCAATTCGGTTTCAGTTACAGAAAACGATGTCAAAAATATTAGGGCAGTCTCGTAAATTTTGACACTAGAGCAATAAACCCCAATTTTCTAACAAAGAGTAGCCAAAACTGCATGGTTTTAGTGTGATTTGGCTACGCATATTCTTGCTAACGCTTTAGTATACAACTTGCCTATACTTGCTTTACGACGGAGCTGTCGTGGGAACAAATTTGCCTTCCACTAATGCGCGAATGCCGCTACAGGAAAATGCTAGTTAAGCGGCGTGCAAGATTGATGGAGCTTCCCTGTAGAGGGCTCGGGCGAGACTGATGCTCTAGAGTGTTCCCTTCATCTTTGAACTTCACGAACCATTTCCTGGCCGTTGTGCAATCATATCATCGCCCCATGTTCCATCAATCTTGAGCTCCACTTCACTACCATTTTCTTCTACGCGCCATTCGTGCTTGGGCAGCAAGCGAATTTCTTCCCAAGCCACCTCCATCTTGAAACAAACCAAGATATGTCGTATACCAAAACGTTTGTAAGAAAATGCGCAATTGTTTGATACCAAGATCATGCAATTTCAATTACTCTTGGTTGGTAAATCTGGTGTTTATTGCTCGAGTGCCAAAACTTATGGAATGACGTAACAATAGTACTGAGATAGGAAAAAAATCGGGACCTGAGGAAGCTGATTGATTATTTGTCGGGGCTCACTAAATTTCTCACTGTACCATCGAGACCCTCGCTCTGTCCTTCTCTCAGCCCACATTTTTCGGTGATGGCTGTTGATAAAAAGACGCGAGAATGTTATCTTTACAACAAAAAGTTTTGGTTTTTGTTTGGCAATCTTTCGCCTGAGTTGCCGATCGCCTGAGGTTCGTGCTATTCCACGTGGGTGCATTAGCTCAAGTGTTTCTGAGGCAAACCTCTATTGATAACTTTCAGACACTTAGCCTTCGTAGAGTTGGCCTAAAGATCTTCCATAAGCTCTTCGTATTCCTCGTCCATGCTTTCGATAAACTCACCTCCCCAAAAGCTAGACCAGTGGTTCAAACAGATTTCATTTCATAGTGGCTTTTGGATGGCGTCTCTCAGACTTAGCACATTTCTCCTTTTTGCGTTGTACTTATTTTACTGTTACACCTATGACACTTACACGTACTTTGTAGTTCTGAGAGAAGGAACTGTACAGTCATAAGACGGATAGCTTGCTAGTCTCTCTCCAAGTGGGCAGGTAAGAGATTATTCGTTAAGTTTCTTCCCAAATTATATTGTCTTAGGGTGAGGGAAACGTTCCGTAACATCCTCTGAGAATTGAAAGTTTATGCGTAAATTTAGTTAAAACATAAGTAATTATTCTTTGAAATAAAGACCACCATTATCCATGATTTTCTGCTAACGATCTGCAAGCTTCCAAATCGCCTCGTATTTCTTGAGCTTTGAATCAAAAAGCTCCTGACATGTGTCTTCAACTGGATCAAATGTCCTGAATTGCCGTCTACGTAGGAGAATGTTTCACTGAACAGAAAAGACCATATTAGAACGGCGCAATATCCGCATGACTGTAGGCTGAGTAATTCGTCTAACTTTTCCTTACCCTTCTCTGCGGTGTGAGGTTTGACAATGTCATGCTGAAACAGCGCGCTCTTTCGACAAATCAGAATCGGGTAAGCTTTTTTCAATGCATCGTAGACTCGGTCCAGCTGCTCGCAGTAGAGTCCACATGCCTCAAAGTTCACTCACCTTCAGCACCAAAGATCTACGCAGCATGTCTTATCTTGAGCTGTCGCTTGCAGCAATAACGTATCAAAACTTGAAGCTCAATTTTGCCCATCGTCATCATTTGCTATTCGAAGAGTTAAATGTTATTTGATGCACTATAGCTAGCGATTCTATGGAAGCTTCTGCTGTGAAAGTGGAAATATTTTTAAGATATTCTTATGAATCTACAATATTCGATAATGCGTGAAGCAAACATAGAATTTGAATTTTTCGCAGGTGTTTAGGAATTATTTTCCTCAACTAAGTATCTCAGTCATATGATACTAGGTTTCTGGCCAAATGGCTCGTACAGTGCTAGAAATATATGTGACAAGTCGACAC